ACTTGCCACAGGCAGCCAGAGGGTCCCATTAGCCAGAGTCAGGCCTATCCCTGAGTGCTGGATGCCCTTTGGCCCTAACCCCTGCAGGTCCATCTCTTAGGGGAGAGACAAAGCACCCAATTCCCCCGGGCCCATTGCCCCTGCAGGAACCCCTCTCCAGATGGGCCTCCTTCCCTCAGCTGCTTCCTGGACCCCCTTCCAGGGATGCCAGCACCCCCACCACACTTGTCAGATGGACAAAGGCCCTCCCACTCCTGCCAGCGGCACCCTGAGGACCCCGTGGGGTATTTTTAGCAAGCCCCCAGTGGTGAGCACTGATCATAGCTGGGTGTGCTTGAAGTCAAGGGAGCCAGCTGCTTCCGTGAGGGTCTCCCTGTGGGGCCGCAGCTGGGATTCACAGAGCCAACAGCTAGCTGCCTGTGAAGGGTGGGCCTGCCTTCCTATGGCACTAGCCAGCAGCCTGGATACTGCCAGGTGGCCCTAGTGGGTCTGGAGCATCCGCACCCCCACTCCTCCCCAGCAGAGTCGAGGATGCCTCAGGTGCCTGGCCTCTGAGTGAGGAGCACCCCCACCCCTCCCCAGCGGAGTCGAGGGAGCCTCAGGTGCTGGCGTCTGAGTGAGGAGCACCCCCACCCCTCCCCAGCGGAGTCGAGGGAGACTCAGGTGCTGGCCTCTGAGTGAGGAGCACCGGTGCAGGGCTGGGAGTTCCCCAGTGGCATAGGAACTGGCAGTGAGCTGAGTGTTAGGCTCTGCTTGGGCAGCAGCTCTGCAGCCTGAGCAGTGAGATCGTTGGTCCCCACTGGTTGTGAGATCATTCTCTGTGGCCCACCTGGCCCCTGTCTGAGAAGCCCTGAGTGTTGTGTCATCGCATGGCCCATGTCAGACCTGGGAGCTGGGCAGGCTGAACGTGGGCTGGGGAATCTGGTGTCCACCTCTCCACTGGCATCTGCAATGAGGTTTCTGAGCATCCTGGAAGGGTTAAGTTACTGGAGTCCTGGCCCACCCCCAAGCCCAGCAGGGATACCTGCCCGCCCACAGGGCACAAGGGACAGAGGGTGAGATGTGGACTCTCTTCTGAGGCTGTGAACAGGGCGACCTCCTGGACGTCAGCCAGAAGAAGACTGCTTGGACCACTCTCCGTAGCGCTGAGGGGGCGTCCAGGGGAGGGGACACCCCCCAGGAGACCCAGCCTGGCCCTTGGGCTCTTCCTCAAGGGATGGTGTAGCTGCAGCCCCAGGGCTCCCCCAACCCCCACAGTGTGCTCATGTCCTGCTGGCCTGAGCCATGGTCACGATTCCAAAATGCTTCCACACAACTCGAGTGGTGGCCATGCACGTACAGCTGACCCTTGAACAATGAGTCTGCAGAGGGTGTGTCTCTGTCCCAGCCTTGAGTCTCAGGAGGGTGTGGCAGGGGCCCCAGATCTGCCAGGTCCAAGACGGAGCAGGTACTGTCCCTATGGCATGGCTGGCCCAGAGCCCTGAGAGCAGGTACGAGTGGGGAACCAAGATGCAGGGTGAGTCACCGGCCAGGAGGCCCTGCTCTAGGGTCCCAGCTGAGGAAGGCGACAGGGACTCGTACCTCCCCGTTTATAGGCCGGGCATGTCCTCCGTGGCACCCTCACCCAGAGCAGGAGCTCCACCTCTGCCCCTCCTGTCCTAAGGGGCACCTCTCCTTTTTTTTTCTTGTTGTCCAGGCTGGAGTGCAATGGCGCAGTCTTGGCTCACTGCAACCTTCGCCTCCTGGGTCCAAGTGATTCTCCTGCCTCAGCCTCCCTAGTAACTGGGATTACAGGTATGCACCACCACACCTGGCTAATTTTGTATTTTTAGTAGAGACGGGGTTTCGCCATGTTGGTCAGGCTGGTCTCGAACTCCTGACCTCAGGTGATCTGCCCACCTCGGTCTCCCAAAGTGCTGGGATTACAAGTGTGAGCCATTGTGCCTGGCCTCTCTTACATTAAGAGACAGGGTCTCACTCTGTTGCCCAGGCTGGAGTGCAGTGGCACAACCATAGCTCACTGCAGCCTTGACCTCCTGGGCTCAGGCCGTCCTCCCACCTCAGCCTCCTGAGTAGCTGGTCCACCACTCCTGGCTAATGAAAACTTTGTTTTGGTAGAGACAGGATCTTGCAGTGTTGCCCAGGCTGGTCTTGAACTCCTAGGTTCAAGCGATCCTCCACCCTGGCCTCCCACCCCCTCCTCTCTGACAGCCTCCTGATGTCAAGGAAGCATGGAGCAAGAGCAGTGCTGCAGAGACTCTATGGGACAGCACCTCAGAGGCAGGGTGGGGCAGGTGGTTCTGGGCAGGTAATAGTAATGACAGCTGGGTGTGGTGGTGGACACCTGCCTCACAGCTGCTCGGGAGGCTGAGGCAGGAGGACGGCTGGAAACCCAGGAGGTAGGGAATGCAGCAAGCTGTGATCCTGCCCCTACATTCCAGCTTGAGTGACAAGAGAAGCCCTGTCTTAAGAAAAGACAGTGGCTCATGGTTTTCTAGTGTAGCCCCAACATTCTGTGTTTACTAACTAACCCCGTTCTCACTCACCCGAACTCCCAGCTACATGGGGAAGACTCTGAGCTTTGTAGTTGAGAGGAGGAAGCTGAGGCAGAGTAGCTCAGCATCTGCCCCCAGCACACAGCACAGGGTGGGGCCGTGGACCCAGCTGGACCTCTCAGCTGTTACCTGCTAGCCCGTTCCTGGCTGGGAGCCAGGGATCCTGGTTGGGACCAACCTCAGACTTGCTGGCGTAGGTTCCCTGGGTCCTGACCTGGGTTGGGGGCGGGGGCTGGAGGCAGACTGGATCACTGAAAGAAGGTGGGACAGAGGAGGAGTCTCCGCTCGTAGCCACCCTCTCGCTGGGCGGGGTCATCAAGACCAAGGCACTCGTTCATTCACTCCACCGAGACTTCCGAATCGCCCACTGTTATGGTTATGTGGCACAGACAAAACATGATTCCTGCCCTTCTGAGGGGCAGTCAGTGCCAGGGGCAGTGCGGGACTGTGTTCCCATTTTAGGGAGAATGCTCTAGAGGTGGGAGGGAGCCGTGCGACATGGGGGAGAAGGCCTGGAGCCAACGGAGTGCAGCCGAGGGTGGCCGGGGCTGAGGCCGGCAAGTGTATGTGCAGGCTGTGTGGACGTTCTCAGGACCTTACTCTGAGTGGGCTGGGAGAAGCTGCTGAAGGGTTCTGAGCTGAGCGGGACGGTGTCCACCTGCATTTTTACCATGAGGCCGGCAAGAGCACAGTCCAGTGGGAGGTAAGTCTGCAGGCACTGCCCCCGCCATCCCCCACGTATGCTGGGTGCCCTCTGCTTGTGCTGAGCTGGGGGCCCCAAGCAGGACCTCAGCCACACCACAGGCCCCTTCCCCATCTTGCCTTGGAGAGGGGCATGGGAATGCCAACAGTCCTCTGTAGATCCGGGGGTCCTGAGGGCCACAGTCACCCCTGGGCAAAGGTCTAGCCCGGTAGAGTGCGCAGCAGGCCTGCCGCACTGACTCTAAGAAATATCTTTTCAGGCTGGGCACAGCGGCTCAACTGTAACCCCAGCACTTTTGGAAGCCGAGGCGGGCGGATCACTTGAGTTCAGGAGTTCAAGACCAGCCTGGGCCAACATTCAAAACCCCATCTCTACTAAAAATACAAAAATTAGGATACAATTTACAAAATTGTATTTTGTACTAAAATACAAAAAAGTGCCTGTAATCCCAGCACTTTGTGAGGCAGGTGGATCACGAGGTCAAGAGATCGAGACCATCCTGGCCAATATGGTGAAACCTCGGCTCTACTAAAAATACAAAAAATTAGCTTGGCATGGTGGCATGTGCCTCTAGTCCCAGCTACTGGAGGCAGGAGAATTGCTTGAACCCGGGAGGCGGAGGTTGCAGTGAGCCGGGCTCGCGCCACTGCACTCCAGCCTGGTGCCTGGGGGGGGGGGGGGAAGACTCTCTCTCAAAAAAAAAAAAAAAAAAAAAATTAGCTGGGTGTGGTGGTACGTGCCTGTAGTCCCAGCTACTTGGGAGTCTGATGCAGGAGAATCACTTGAACCCGGCAGGCGGAGGTTGCGGTGAGTCACTGGGCGACAGAATGCGACTCTCTCTCAAAAAAAAAAAAAATCTTTTCATGTTTTCACATTCCTGAGACAGCAATGCACCTGTAGCTGACGGCGTCTTGCGTTGATGCGATTCAGTCCTGGGAGCATTTGAAGCCACTGGGTATCTAGTCTGACCCTTCTCCATCTCCTTTTGGCAGTGGCCTGGTCTTTATTCTGTGAACTCTGGGCCTGTGTCAAGGCTGTGGGGAAGGGAAATGTGGAAGATGCAACCCTTTGCCCTCAGGACGCTGTTTTTGGCCAGAAGAATGTGATGCCAGGGACATCCATGGCCTGAGCCCCAGGAGGGGCAGGATGGATCTTGACAGGCGTGTGGCTGCTATAAAGCACTTAGTGGTTCCTCAAATGATCGAACCTACTGTGTATTACATACAGCAAATATGTGTTAGTTGACTGTATCAGTGAAGCTCTGGTCAGTAGTAGGTTACTAGCAGTTAAGCTTTTGGGGAGTCAAAAGTTCTATGTGGATTTCTGACTTTGAGGGAGGGTGGCGCCCCTAACCCATACATGCATGTCCATAGCAGCGTGATTCACAGTAGCCAAAAGTGGAAACAATCTGACTGTCCCTTAGTGGATCAGTGGATATACGGAATGTGGTGTATGTACTGAGGAGTGTGATTCAGGCCCCAGGAGTGCAGCCCTGACACGGGACACCAGGTGGATGAGCGTTAACACCTCACTCCAGTGAAAGAAGCCAGGCGCAAAAGGACATACTGCACGGGTCCGTTCTTATGAAATATGCAGAATAGGCAAGTGCACAGAAGTTAGATCCGTGATTGTGAGAGGCTGGGGGGCAGTGGAGAAGGGGAGAACGGGTATGGGTTTTCTTGGGGGGTGATGAAGATACAGTGATGGCCACACAATTTTGTGAATATACTAAGTGAGTTGTACATTTTAGAAGGATGAACTTTACATGTGAATATCATCTCAGTTTAAAAACAGTCCTCAATGGAAACAGCTTGATTGATCTTGGCTGGAGCTGACAGGCAAAGCTGGGAGGAAATGATACACACGTACATCGTGAGCTGGCCCATGGCTGGGACTGAAGCAGCCTGTATCTAGTCCATGGCTGCATTCCTGGGACCTAGCACACAGTAGGTGTGCAATAAATAGATGAGGGTGAGTCAGGGAGCCCACGGTTAGTGAATAGCTGTGGTGGCAATCACCAGGGTCTGTCTGACACCCTCTCAACAAGCTCTTGTGGGGAGAAGAAACAAATTCCTCATGGGCAAACCCTGCTGCTTTTCCCAGGGTGGGGACCAGAGGCTCAGTGCCAGGCAGGCATGGGGGCTGGGTGCTGGCAGCCCCAGGGTTTTCAGGGCCAGGGCAGAGGCAAGCAGCTGTTTCTGATGCCGCAGGAAGGACCCCTGTGGGGTCACAGCAGTGTTCTGGTCCTCACCCAGCACAGCCCCTATCAAGGGGGACCCATCCCCCTGCAGGGCTGCCAGGGCCTGGGCTGAGTGGGCACTGAAGCAGGACCCCAGTGAGGGAGCCAGGCGTTGGGGTGCCTCAGCCCAGCCCCCCAGGCTTCCCTGAGGGCTGACTGCTGTTGTCCTGTGCTCTGCTGCCGACCTATTTTCCAGTACATTCTTAACTGGAAAACTTGGCCTAAATCCTGTTCCTTGCTGTGTGCCCAGGGCCCTGCCCAGAGCATCAAGGAGGCCCTTGGCACACACCACTGCATGGAGGAGTGAACTAATGAAGTGAATGAATGAATGAATATCATAAACTGGCTGCAGGGAAGGAGAGATGCTTGCAGAGGCGGGGGCCACCTGCACTCCATCCCCCAGCACCCTTGTCCCTGGACTTAGACCCCCAAAGCATTTCAGGGATGCTGGGGTGGCCCTGTCTAGACTCTCAGCTTCCTGAGGGTCCCTCACTTTCTCCCTGTGGACCCTCGGGCTGACTGAGTTGGGGTGGGTTACAGCGCTGCCCTCCAGGTGGGGCCCCTCAGGGAGGGCACACGTCACACTCCTGTGCAAACCTGCACCTGCACCTCTGTGTTCTGTACGTTTGATATTAAGAAATCGTTAATTCACCTAGGTGCAAAAACAGTGTTTTAGTAATGCTTTATAGAAATCGTATTTTACAGATATCGCTGAATTATTTATCAATGAAATAATATGTCTAGATTTCGTTCACACTACCAGTGAAGGGAGATTGGTGGTATTCTGGAGAGTCGGCTGTGGGCCTGGGGCTGGAATGTGGCACATGGGGCTTTGTCGTGCTGTTCGCGCTGCCTTTGTAAGGTTTTCAAAACTAAGTGATAAATAATGAGTTGTAGTCACCACCATGTGACCTCATGAGGCCCCACAATGTAGGCATCAGTGGCCCCTTTGCAGTCAAGGAAGTGGGCGTTGGTGTCAAGAGCGTGAGCTCTCAGATGACGGGGCACCGTCTTCCCACTAAGTCCCCTGCACAGAGCCGCCACCTTGTCAGTAAATACCTGTGCACTTTAGTTATCCGAAGCCCCCAGCCAGTGAGTGATGGGCTCAGAAATGGAACCCACTTTCTCTGCCTTTAAGCTTCTGGGAAATCCTCCTTTTTCTCAAAAGAGGAGAGAAAAGATACTAACCTCCTCTCCCAATGCCTTGGGCTTCCACAGCCCTGCTGGGGATGCGGAGCTGTCTCCACTGACAGACTTGGAAATTGAGGCTCAGAGGGGCCTAACTGCTTCGTCCACACCTATTCTCACAGTTCACAGGTGGTCACAGCTGGGACCCCCAAGCCCTCAGGCCCCAACCTCCAGGCTTCCTATGCCCACAGTGCTGCTACCGTCAGTGTTAAGAAGGAGCTCTTGTCCCTCCCACAAATGACAAAACAAAACCCAAGCCCACCAGCCCTCGGGCATGTCCAGGACATCATCCCTTGACCTTGGACTGCAGATACACAGGGTGGGCGGACCTGTTTCTCCCGGGGACCGGCCTTCGGGCTCCAGAGGAGGCCACTGTGTGTGCCTGGGGGACTGAGGTTCCCGTGTAGTTACAGAGCGCAGGCTGGCCAGTGCCCCAGGCACCTGCTGGCTCCGTGGAATGGGACCTCTAGGAAATCAGGAGGTGGTGGGCCTTGCCAGGCGAGGAGTCTGCGGTTTGCATCCAAGTTGCGACCCAGGCCACTGGAACCCGGAAAGCCCTTTTGGAAAAGGCTCTGATTGGGAAGGGGGTTGTGAGCGCTTTCTTCCCCTTACCGACTCCAAGGTGCTGCACTAAGGCCTCCACCGTCAGGGCAGCGAGCGGTCCAGGCGCACCGACCCTCCCCGATGAGCGTGCGCCGGGGCCGCGCCCGGAGCAGCCACTCCCACAGCTCGGGAGCCCTCGTGGGCTGCGCCCCTGCAAGCCCTGCGCCCCCACCGAGACCCACCTCAGCCCCACGCCCCGGCAGGGTCCCTGACCACAGTCTCCGGCCTTCGCCCCCGAGACTCGCCTCTCGGTGAACAAAGCTGACGAGCTAGCGACCTGCCAGTGTCACCCCCACGCCCCGCCGACAGGGACCCCAAACTCCAGTCCCGGAATGCCCCTCCCCCCTCGCCGGGGCCCCGGCCGGCTCGGCTGGGAGGGGGCTCGGGACGAAACTCTGGGCCACCCAACCTCGAATGCGCCCGGGCCGCGAGCGCAGAGAACAAGGGGGCGGAGACCCGGCCTGTGCGCCCCCAGCCCGCGCGGGGACCGCTCCTGGGGGGCGTCCCTGGCCCGCCAGACAGGCCCCCGCCCCCCACCTGCCAAAGGGCTCTCGGCGGCTCCGGCAGCGGAAAGGAGGGCCCAGTCGGGAGGGGCTGCGGCTTGCTGCGGGGAGGCGCCGCTTGGGGGTCCCGGGGGCTGGGGCTGAACTCACCTCCGGGGCCGGCGCTCTCCGGGGGCTCCATGTGGCCGGCGGGGTCTGGGAGGGGCGCGGGCGACGGTGGTGTCTGCTGGCCCAGGCGCCCCAACAGCTGCGGCAGCGACTCGGCCCCGGCTCCGGGCGCAGCGCATCGGGGCAGTAACCGGGGGGCCGCGGCGGCGGGGAGGAGCCCGCGGGGCGGGGCGCGCAGCTGCTCCCGGGCCCCGGCCCCCTCTCGGCGCCCCCGCCAGCCGCAGGACAGGTGCGGCCCCGCCCGGACCCGCGCGCGCCCCCTGCCGGCCCCTGGTCCCGCCGCCCCCGCCCCTCCCCCGCCGCCCGCTCCCCTCCCCCCCGGCGACCCCTCCCCCAGCCCCCGCCTCCCCTCCCCCCTCCCCTCCCTCGCCTGCCGCGCCCCGCCGCTGACCCCACCGGACCCCACCGGACCCGGCTGCGGCCTCCCGACCCTGGCTCTGCGTCCGCGGTTCCTGCGCACTCACTCGGCAGCCGCGCCGCTCACGCGCTCCTGTTCTCCTCCAGGTCCGTGCGTGCGGGGACCCGGCGGGGCTGGCGGGGGCGCGGGAGGGCCTGAGTCGGGCAGGGTAATGGCAGAATCACAGAGCGCGCTGGACGGTGTGAATGAATCCACGCGGGAGTGGGTGGGGGCGAGGCAGGCGCTCGCGGGGCTGGAGGGGTGGGTGGGGGTGGGGGTGGGGGTGGGGGCGGGGGTGGGGGTGGGGGCGGGGGCGGGAGGCTGCAGGGAGCGCCAGGGCAGCTTCGGTGAAACCCGCCTCCCAGCAAGCGCGGGGCCGCCTCTCCGAGCACACCCGGCGAGCACCAAGCTCTGCGCCTCGTCGTTGTGCGATGGGTGTCCCATCGCTTCTCCCAGTGACCCTAGGAAGGAGGTCTCCTTTCAGGCGAAGGAGCTAAGCACAGAGACGGTAAGTAACCTGCCCGAGGACGCACAGCCGGGCGCTGGGAGGGTACCTCTGTAAGTCCGAGCTCTGCGCTTTTGTTGTCCTGGCCCGAGCACAGAAAGTCAACACCAAGACAAAGGAGGGTGTCAAGACCTTTTATACCCGTAAAACCACCTCGGGAGTGAGGGTGAAGGGCAGGGTGGGGATGAGGGGCTTCAGATGTTCCGAGGGCTAGTGGATTCTGTAAATCACCTCCTGGGCAGAGATGAGGGTGAGGGGACTTCGGACATTCCGATTGTTACTTAAGTGGGTCACAGAAGTCAAGGTAAGCGTTAGTTTACACGTTGCCTGGGTAGAGTGGAAATTACAGACCTTAGTTACTTATTACAAGCTGTAAGGGCCAGGATGGCGTGGGTTTGGACTGCTTGCCTGTCACATCAGGGTTACAGAGAGCAGTTTCAACAGAAAGCCGAGGTATGGTTGAGGTATGCAGTTTTATGGGGCTTTTACCATGTCACATTCCCCCCTTGTTTTATTTACAGGAATTAAATCATTGATTCCTCCAACAGGTATTTTTTTTCGGCTCTAAGGGCCCACATTGAGACCTTAATATCATTAATTTTATGGAGTCTACCCTAGATTTTATGAACCTTAGCAGTTGGTTTAGGAGGCAGAGGCCAAACATGAGCCCCAGTAGGAGTGGGAAAGATGTTTGCCATGTCCCATCCACACATAGATACTCGGAGACCCCAGGTTCGCCCCGCTGTCCGTCTACCATCTGGGGTAGTTACAGTTATCTTGAGTGGATTATAAGACCCAGGGTAGCATGGGGATGGGGGAGAGTCTCGGTTATAAGAGAAGGAGCCTATGTTTTCGGTGGAGATAGTTTCATAACTCCAGTGGGGGCAAAATAATTCATTTAAGTCTCCACACTTTAATCAAAACAAACCAAACCCAAGTGTCAGGAAGTTTGGGAGTGGAAAAGGTGATGAACTTGACAGATGGACTTGAGTGGCTCAGACTGCAGGAGGGGCTGAGGCTCAGACGCCAGTGATGCATTCAGCTTCCACCATCCACAGTCAGACCCTTTGCACTGGCTGCCCCTCCCAGACTGACTCCTGCCCAACTCCAGTTAGGGGGGTAGAGCGTGCCTTCCAGCCTGGAAGTCAGCAGGGCAGGCTCATAGTTTCCATGTTTCTTTAGTTTACAAAACAAAAACCAGAACTGCTGCTTAAAAGCCTCTGAAATGATTTCATGACCCACTGGCCTCCACGCCACCCTAAGGGTGCGGAGTCTCGCCTCTCATGGAGTGCAGCTGTGGGGTGTGGGCTGCCCTGGGAAGTGGGGACAGGGATGGGCGTGGACCACCCAGAGTTGTTTGGGGTGGCAGGTTGTGTTTTCTCAAAATGGCCACAGCAGTAGTTCTGATCCCGTGTCTTCAGAACCTTCTGTTCCCATGAAGACACTGTGCTACTTCTCCGTAACCATTACTGGGGCTTGGGACTGCTCTGGCCAATAGAGGGCTGCAGAAGCGATGTCATGTGACTCCCAAGGCTGCGTCTTGAGCAGCGTCCTGCTCTCTGGAAAGGTCCGCCTTGGAACTAGAACTTCCTCCATGCTGTGAGGAAGCCCAGGCCACAAGGGAGACGCCTGTGTTGCTGCTGGCGTTCCTACGGAGCCCTCTGCCGACAGCTGGCCTCGGCTGCCTACGTAAGTAAGCCCTCAAGGTTCCAGACCTGCCTTTGAGCTTTCCTGGGGAGGGGGCGATCAGTGGGGCTGAGGCAAGCTATCCCTACCTTGTCATGGCCAAGTTGCAGATTCATGAGCAAAACAAATGCTGTCATTGTTTTAAGCTACTGTGTTTTAGGGTTGTTACGCAGCTGTGGTAACAGTCATTACTGTGTATGAATGATTCCCATTTGAGAGACGAATAAATGATACAGAGGGAGTCTGTCAAAGACTGCCCTGCTGGTAATCAGACTCCAGAGGACAGTGTCTGTTTAACTTTTTATTAATAACATTAGCAAACACAAAAGTAGAGAGAATGTCACAAGTCACCCACATGTACGTATCACCCTGAGTCAACAATCACCAAGTCATGGCCTGTCCTCATTCACTTCCCTCCACTGCTGGGTCATTTTGAAGCAAACTGTATACATATTAGATCATTGCATTTGTAAATGCTTCAATATTTATCTCTAAAAGAAAGTCCATTTGCTGGTGCAGTGACTCATGCCTGTAGTCCCAGCACTTTGGGAGGCTGAGGTGGGAGGACAGCTTGAGACCAGGAGTTTGAGACCAGCCTGGGCAACAAAGCAAGACACCATCTCTTCAAAAAATAAAATTAAGAATATAAGCCAGGTGGAGGGGGTTGGAGGCAGAGGTGGGAGGATCGCTTGAGCCCAGGAGTTCAAGGCTGACTATGATGGCATGTCTTAAAAAAAAAAAAAAAAAAAAAAAGTCTAGTCTTCATAAAAACTCTTGTTATCCTAACCTCCAGGCTTTCACTGAGCTGACGCAGTGGCTGGAGGCGGTTTACTTGGTGGGTAGTGGCGGCAGGAAGCATCAGAAATCAGAGGACAGTTGGTTTGTTTATTTGCTCTGGTATTTGCAGGAAACTCAGATGCCATTTATCTCGGTTTTTGAGCTGCACACCTTGATGCTGAATGAAAGTATCTTAAGCCACGTATATGAAGAAAAGGCTCTTTTCCAAACATCTGAACTCAAATTCAGTATGAAAAGGACAGGTTGCAGTGAGCCTTGTCGGGAGCCCCGGGAGCCGGCAGTCGGGGCTCCCTAAATGATTCATCTCTGCAATCCACACTGATAGACCAAGCTGTGCTCTTCCCTTGTGACAAATGAATACCCTGTATAGGCTATCCTGAGCTAACCCTCCTATTCTTGCCCTTTTTGCTGAAAGGAATTATTGTTAATACAGCTATTTAATTCAGGACTCTTAGCCAGATTTCTAAAGCAAAAAGCCAATCAGCATGTAGCAGCTAGCATATTGGGCTTGTGAAGTAAGTGTTAAATAATAATAATCACCCCACTGTGCTCTCTAGCGGCACTGTCTGACCTGCCAAGCTTCCCCTGGGATACACCTCCCACCCTATGCCTGGGGGAGGAGGTGTCTATCAGGCCAAAGGAGTCTGGCACGGTGATGCTGGCTCCTGTTTGACCAGGCACAGTGACCCGCCAGACCTCACAAAGGCCTTAGGGCTGCTTACTATAAATAAATCACAGCTTTGTGCAGGCTGAGCCAGCGCAGTTCTTCCAACTGGCTGCTCCTCTCCAAGAACCATCCGTTCTTGGGTGGGCAAACAGGAAGCCTCTCATCACAGTGATTGTCAGATTCTCACCGTGTGGGTGCCTGAGGCCTGAGCAAGCCCAGCCCATGTGGCAGCTTCCTCCCCGAGCTGGACAGGAAGACCTAAGTCCACCAAGCCTTCTTTCATTTCTCACACTTTGCCCCCAGCACAACTTTCTATGAGCATAGATTCTGGAATCTTCATCCACATAGGAGAACAAAAGCTGCCGCAGAACCATTTTTTTTTTTTTTTTTTTTTCGCGACAGGTTCTCGGGTCTCACTCTGTTATCTAGGCTGGAGTGCAGTGGTGTGATCTCACTGCAACCTCCACCTCCAGGGCTCAAACAATCCTCCCACCTCAACCTCCCAAGTAGATGACTACTTTTTTTTTTTTTTGAGATGGAGTTTCACTCTTGTTGCCTAGGCTGAAGTGCAATGGCGAAATCTTGGCTCATGGCAACCCCTGGGTTCACGGATACTCCTGCTTCAGCCTCCCAAGTAGCTGGGATTACAGGCATGCACCACCACACCGGGCTAATTTTTGTATTTTTAGTAGAGACGGGGTTTCTCCATGTTGGCCAGGCTGGTCTTGAACTCTTGACCTCAGGTAATCCACCTGCCTCGGCCTCCCAAAGTGCTGGGATTACAGGCATGAGCCACCATGCTGGCCAAGATGACCACTTTTTAAGAAGATGTTAAGGTTGAGAGCTTAGGGCCAGGTGTGGGGCTCACATTGTGCTCCCAGCACTTACGGAGGCCAAGGCAGGAGGATTGCTTGAGGCCAGGAGTTAGACCAGTCTGGGCAACAAAGTAAGACCCCGTCTCTATAACAAACTTTTTTTAAAAAGCCGGGTGTGGTGTCTCACACCTGTAGTCCCAGCTTCTCAGGAGGCTGAAGTGGGAGGATTGTTTGAGCCCAGGAGGTTGAGGCTGCAGTGAGTTGTGATCACAGCCTAGGAGACAGAAGGGGATCCTGTCTAAAAAAAATTGGCTCGCGCCTGTAATCCCAGCACTTTGGGAGGCCAAGGCACGTGGATCATGAGATCAAGAGATCCAGACCATCCTAGCCAACATGGTGAAATCCCATCTCTACTAAAAATACAAAAATTAGGAGTGGTGACATGAACCTGTGGTCCCAGCTACTTGGGAGCCCGAGGCAGAATTGCTTGAAGCCAGGAGGTGGAGGTTGCAGTGAACCGAGATCACGCCACTGCACCACTCCAGCTTGGGCAACAGAGCGAGACTCCTCGTCCAAAAAAAAAAGAAAGGAAAAAGAAGTACCTGCTTTGACGGCCTTCTGGGTGACACAGATGGTTGTGTGCAGGCAACAGGGTGGTTTCAGGGACGGGAAATTCACGTTGGCAACTGTAAAATGGCCAGTAGCTTTCAGAACGAGAGGCTTGCTAGACAGGGAAGTGCAGCTGTTTTCTGCAGGGCCTCTCTCGTCATCCCTGAGGACTGGGGGGCGCCTCTCCGGGAAGAGCGGTTATCTTCGTGAGGGGTACTCCCTGGTTTCTCTTTCCCATTCCTGCGTTTTGAGTGCGCCTAAACCCGCCCGCGCCGCAGCTGGGAGGGCCGCGCAAGGCGGGCGGGGGCGGCGAGTCCCGGGGGCAGTCTCTGCCCGGGTTTGAATCTCCTGTGGGTGACGTCCCCGAGCCTTGGGTGGCAGATGGATCATTCATTCACAGCTCCTTCATTCACTCATTCAGCCACTGAGCACCTGCCGGGAGCTGCACTGGGCGCTGAAGGATAGAAGTGAACGGTCCTCCCTCTGGGAGCTGAGGTTCCCGCAAAAAAACGGAGCGCGTCCTGCGGCGAAAGGCGTCCGCGCCGCCAGCGGGATCCTCCCAGCGTCCTCGCGTGCGGCTCCTCCCGGCGCCCGTCTCTAGGGACGCGCGCCCGTCTCTAGGGACGCGCGCCCGTCTCTAGGGACGCGCGCCCGTCTCTAGGGACGCGCGCCCGTCTCTAGGGACGCGCGCCGGCCTTTGGCTGCCGCCGGGCGGAGTCTCGCGAGATCTTGCGACTTACCGCGGCGTCGCCCAACGGTTGCCGGGAAACGGCGCGGCTTCCGCGGGGCTGGCGCTTTGGACCCGGGTCGCCGTTGGGCTTGTCCGCGGCGTCATGGTGAGCAGGGGCGGGAGCCGGGCCGCGGTCCTCGCCGGGGGCCCGGAGAGCGCGGGGCAGGGAGGCCTGGGCGCACAGAGACCCCCGAAGAGGAGGCCCGGAGTGCGGGGACCCTGCCGTGGGGGACCCCGCGGGGCAAACTCAAGCTGCTCCTGGCCCCGGGCCTGCCCGCGCTCGGAGCTGAGACCAGGGCTGGTCGTAGAACGCCCGGGGTCCGCGGCGCGCGGTGCCCGGTGCCCGGGAGAGGGGGCGAGCGTCGGGGGACTCCGTCCTGGGGCGGAGACTCGCTCTGTTGGCTCCCCGGGACCAGGGTTGCACCTCACAGGGGCTTTGCAGCGCACCGGGGTCCCCGGGAATAGAGTCGGAGGCAGCGATTGCCCGGGACCTTTGGGGTCGGGGATGGAGAGCCTGGGGCACGCCAGAGGGCCTCGAGGTCCCTCGCCACCGAGGAGGCCTGGACGTGTCCATTGCCCGTGGAGTGCTCAGTTCCTCGGGACACAGGAACCACTGCTCCCTTGGAAAGCCTGGCAGGAGTCAGGCCCGCACCGGGAAGAGGAAGGCAGAGCTCTTGGCCTCGCCAGCTTCATCTATGCCTTTTTCCTGTAAAGGGCTCTCCCTTTGTGATACAAGAGTTGTCAGTAACTCCGTTTCTGGGCAGGCGTGGCAGGGTGGGTTTCAGCTGGTGGGGGAGGAAAGCTCTCATAGCCCGACCAAGTTCCTGCAGCTGTCTGTGAAGGTCCCAGATGCTCAGTGATACTGAGCCTTCCTCCCCGGCTTTTAGGGCTTTTTGATGAGGTGGCCTTCTTGGAGTGGAGGCAGTAGAGAGAGCAGTACGTTAAATATTAAGAGTTAAGTGGATGGGTTTTCTGAACCAGGAAGGGTCTTCTGAAAACCAACTGGAAAATAAACTAGGAAACTAGGCTGGGAGGCCAGGCGCAGTGGCTCACACCTTTAATCCCACCACTTTGGGAGGCTGAGGTGGGCGGATCACGAGGTCAAGAGATGAAGGCCATCCTGGCCAACATGATGAAGCCGGTTTCTACTAGAACACAAGAAATAGCTGGGCATGTTGGCGCGTGCATGTAGTCCCAGTTATTCAGGAGGCTGAGGCAGGACAATCAGTTCAACCCAGAAGGTGGAGGTTGTAGTGAGCTGAGATGGTGTCACTGCACTCAGTGAGATGCCTGGGCGACAGAGTAAGACTCTGTCTCTAGAAAAAAAAAAGCAGGCCGGGCGCGGTGGCTCGAGCCTGTAATCCCAGCACTTTGGGAGGCCGAGGCGGGTGGATCACAAGGTCAAGAGATCGAGACCATCCTGGTCAACATGGTGAAACCCCGTCTCTACTAAAAATAAAAAAAATAAAATGAGCTGGGCATGGTGGCGCGTGCCTGTAATCCCAGCTACTCAGGAGGCTGAGGCAGGAGAATTGCCTGAACCCAGGAGGCGGAGGTTGCGGTGAGCCGAAATCGCGCCATTGCACTCCAGCCTGGGTAACATGAGTGAAACTCCGTCTCAAAAAAAAAAAAAAAAAAAAAGCCTGGGCTCAGTGTCTCACGCCTGTAAATCTAGCATTTTAGGAGTCCAAGGTGGGCAGATCTCTTGAGGTCAGGAGCTGAAGACCAGCCTGGCCAACATAGTGAAACCCTGTCTCTACTGAAAATATAAAAATTAGCTGAGCACCTGTCATCCCAGCTACCTGGGAGGCGGAGGTTGCAATGAGCTGAGATTGCGCCACTGCACTCCAGCCTGAGTAACAGAGTGAGACTCTGTCTAAAAAAACAAACAAACAAACAAAAAAACTACCAAACTACTTTATTCATTCATTCATTCATTCATTCATTTATTTGAGACGGAATTTCACTCTTGTTGCCCAGGC